CCGGAGCCGAAGTAAAATGAGTGACACTGAGTCACTGTGGCCGGAGCCGAAGTAAAATACTTGTCAAAATTTAAAATGTACAAAAGTGGAAAGGAGTGTTGAAATGGGCTTAAATAGGCCCGTCTAAGAGGTCTGACTAAGACGCGGCACGTGACGCGACAGTTGTCCTCTGAATGACGTGCGTAATAAATGCCGCTGCAAAAAAGATAACTGCAACAATCCAACGGGCAGATTTGAAAAGCGAACCGTCGAATTCGAAACGGTATCGTTTAATGGTTAACCGTCGAATTCGAGACGGTGTCTCTGCAGCCATTAGATTGACTTAATCACAGCCGTTGGGGCGTATTTTGCCTTTGGTATAAAAGGCCATACTTCTGTAAATGGGACTTTTTTACTCTCGTTATTTTTCGACTAAACTCTTGCTAAATTTCTCCTAAATTTCTACGGTTTTCGTGCGGTTTGCGCTTCGATTATGACTTTCACAATAGTTTCCAAGATCGAAATCAGGTAAAATTTACAAATTTTTTGCTTTGATTTTATCGAAGTGGTGTTCTCCTTTCTCCCTTTCTGTGGTTGATTTTGGGTTTTTGGAGGGAAATTAGGGTTGAGAGTGAGAATGTATTTGAGTGTGCTCGAATTGTTAAGGGTCCTGACTTCGTTCCTCCTCCCCCTGTATGCAGAAATTGAGATGTCTTCAGACGAGGCTAGGAGTGTAGTGGGAAGTGAGGTATTGCCCTTGGAATATGGTGGCATGGATTCGGAGACCAGTCCGTCTCCAACGAGTTCGGAGAGGACGGTGGAGGAGAGGAGAGAAGAAGTAGTAGTAGAGGAGGAAGAAGAGGAGATCCCCTCAAACGCGTTGGAATCTGGGGGTGGCGTAGACGGGTGCTATGACCCGGACTTAGAGATAGTGTCCGAGGTGAGGGGGTATGTAAGCGAATTAGGGAGTAGAAGTAGCCTTAGGGGGTTAGTAGGGAACTGTAACCTTCCCCACCATGTCCTAATCAGGCCTGCCAGGGTGAATGAGAGGGCATGCTCAGCACCCCGAGATCATTGGATGCCCATATACCTGCACTATTTGATTGCAGGGCTTAGGTTTCCCATTCCAGAATTACTGGTTGGGCTGTTGTTAGATTATAGTATAGGAATAACCCAGCTAACTCCAAATGCCATGAGGGTAGTAATAGGTTTTCTTGTATACTGCAGAGTTCGGGGGGTTGGGGTTCCCACTGTGAATATGTTTAAACATTTTTTTATAATTAAGGCTGGGGGTGGAGGAGAAAAGGGGTGGTATCACTTCGGTCTTCGGTCGTCCAGCAAAGAGAATAAGAATTTATTCTCTCCTGGGCCGTCATCCATCAAAGGATGGAAAGAAAATTTCTTCTTTGTGGATGACACCAAGTGGAGTAGGAGGGATGCCGAAGTGGAACAGTTGTCTGCTTGGAAAGCGAAGAAATCCAAGCAGAACAACTATAAGTTGAACGAGGATGAGGTGGAAGAAGTGAAGAAGCTGGTGAGGGAGGACGGAGACGTGGTGGACATCCTATACCTCACCAGTCCACAGGCAATAGAGGCTGCTGAGCTCTATGGGCCAAGCTCATTGAGCGAAGGTCTGTGTATATTTACATTGTGCTATGTTAGTTAGATCTTAGTTTATGCGTTTTGACTGTTGTTCTTGTATTGCAGCTGAGATGGAGGAGTTTACTAATGCTGCTGGGGGGCTGCGCATCCCAAAGAAGCCAAGGAAGAAGTCAACGACTTCAGCTGCGGCGAACAGAGGGGTGCCCGAGAGAGAGCGCCTTCCCAGCACTTCTGCCTGGGCCATGGAGGTGCAGCCAAGGCCGGAGCCTGAGATAGGGGGCAGCGAGGATGTAAGCGAGGAGACGGCTCCGCTCCAGAGGAAGAAGAGGAGGGTGGCAGAGCTAGAAAGCAGGGGGGATGAGGTGGTGGAGTTCATGCCTCAACCTTCTCCTCCAGAAATCGTTCCTGAGGTCCGGGAGAGGGAAGAGGCCGAGGTGCAAGGCCTTAGTGGGGGCAGGGAGCGCACCCCACCCCACGCGTACCAGAAAAGTTTGTTTGAGGCGACAAACATGACTGGGGCGAAGCACTTTCTCAACGCTACGCTTCCTGACGTGGATAGGATGCAAGCGAAGAACGAGGTGCTTAGCCATGCGGGGTATACCGTTGTGAGGCATGCCCTAGAGGTATGCGAAATAACTAGATTTTACTCCGGTTACATGTTTGAGTTATTTGTCCCCTATGTTTGATGTCTGACCTCTGATTGCATTGTAGAGTGCGAGCTGGACGAACGCTCTAGCGCAGGAGTATACAGAGAGCGTTAGAGATCGTGCCAGCTTGCAGAGGCAGTGCGATGCCCTGCGAAAGGAGAAAGAGGAGCTGCAGAAGGAAAAGAGGGAGTTGCAGAAGAAAAACCAGCAGATTCAGAGGAGGCTAGATGAGGTGACACCAACAGTGACCGAGCTCCAGAGTGAAAACAGTGTCTTGAGCACGAAACTGTCTCTTGAGGAACGCAAAAGGAAAATTTGCGAAGAGAAGCTCGAGACTCAAGACAAATATATCGAGAGCCTGAAGAAAGGGGCAGTGGAGCTGAAGAACAACGTGGAGCTGTTGGTGCACAACGGGATGGAGGGACATATTGGCAACTTCCTCAACTCCAGCACCTTCGAGGGCATCCTCAAGCTGTACCGACTGCCAACCGCCATCCTGGCCTTCACCGACTGTAGAAAGAAGGTGAAGGCCCAGTACCCAGAGGTGGACGTGACAACGGTCACCTTTGGGGAACAGGAGGAAGGAGTGGAGGAAGATGGCGAGAGTCTTTGTGCGGACTTCCGTCCTCAGATTACTCTGAGGTGGGAGCGTGATGTAGAGGGGCGCACCATTTTTCCTCCAACCTTTGATGCTGAGTTGGTGGCCGTGGAGGGAGAAGAAGAAGAAGAAGAAGGAGCGTTAGGCGCTGGTG